TCATTATTCACATACATTCATGCTTAATGCTCAAAGATTGTTATCATTCTCGGGCAGAGTACAATTGTCAGTTGAACAACAACCAACATTCCACATTTATTGACAATAGTGAATGATTTGTGTTGCTAGCCCTTGGTGCACTGCAGTGGAAAAACTAATTAGGCTAATATGCATTTGCAATATACACAACAATGAACAACCCATTCATTGAGAGTTAGGTAAATCAGATGCATGTTGAAAAAACAATAGCTATTACACATCACTACTTAAAGTAAGACTGCTTAAGTCATCTTTGTTAAAGAATATTGGTTAATTCATCATCAGTGGTAGGGTTTCTTGACACTTGGTTTTACATCATACATGTAATAATGAAAAAGCAAAGTACGATTATTTAAAACTAGACTAGTAAAGTTAAGAGTAAAGAATGAACAAAACTTTTCTAACACAAAGAATGCTATGATCTGACATGATAAGTAGTATGGCCACTGCATATCTGACATTCCCTCACAGCAATGTTGAGGCAGAAAAATAATTTTCAAATGATCTGAAAAATCTGATGTCATCTTTGGAGATGTTTGAACAACAATACTATTCAAAAAGAAAACAGTATTCATGATTCATGCAGCCATTATTAATTTTTCAAGGATTTCTGAAGCATTTTTAAGGTATTTCTGAAAGTTTTTATGGAGGATTTTGAATTACAGAAAGTGAACCTTCTCCCATTTTATTTATTCACTATTTCGAGGTAATATGTAAAAAACAAAAGTGCATAATACAATTTTTAAATAGTTTTAACAATTTTTTTTATCTTTTATATATTTTTGTCATCAAGAATAATACCTTTCTAAATGTTGAGGCATTTTCAAGGACACCAGTCAGCATCCAAAATTTTTCAAATTTGTATGAACCATGGTATTTTGTTGCCAAATGAAATACTGATGCACTGCATCCTTTATTCTTTTTTTCTTTCATTTCTCTTTTATTTTAGACAAGCATAAACAGCAGAGGAATATAAATATTTTGGGGATTAGCCAATTTAGGTTCATACATGGTACATTGGTACACAGGTAACACTTATTGTTCTTTACTTATTAGCAAAGATGAAGAACTTTTAAGAAAATTAAAAATTCAAATATATTTTAGAAAATATTTTTCACTTTGGTATTAAAGTAACCCTCTTATGAAAGGTGTTCCATTTAAAGGGAAAAAAAATGAAGAAGCAGATAAAGTGGTTAATCCAATTTACTTTTTTTGACACATCATATTTTAAAAGAAGACTATCACATCCATTTTACAATTTGTTTTAATTACATGCTGATATGACACTAACATCTTGCTATTAAATCAATTGTGTACCAAATGATATTTGTACTGTCTATATGACAACCAGAAATATGCCAATATATCATATCAAGTTAGTCATTTCATTAAAAAATGGTGTAGTCACTTTAAATGAAACTGGTAAGATTCTCTATTCTTTGAGAATTATGCCTGGGCTAGGGCCAAGTATTAAATCTTACCACCAGATGAATATCACCAACACCTTTGCGATTGCCGATATTGTTTTGAATATCTTGCACGCTATCAGGGTTACATAGATAGTCCAGATCCAGCTCTACAGGCTCTAGCTGAAGGGGTGAGGTCCACTCCGATGGACTTATCTCTGCAGACTGTTTGTGCTTCCTCCCTGATGTCAGTTGGGAATTCAGCCTACACCATTTAAGGTGCCTGTTGTGTACTGGAGGCATTCTTTGGAACAGACATCCAGCTTGATGAATACAGCCTTTCAAGCAGCATAATAACAGATGTGACCAAGACCTGGACATATTACAGCATACAGCTACAAAAGAATGAGAATAATATTACATAAATGTCAAGTATATCTAAGGATGGATGTGGTTGACTTTATTCATGGACTTCCCACAACATTCTTTGAGAAATTACTAACCATATGTACTTGCTTATAAGTACAGTCCAAATGTAAAGAAAAGAGACCCTGATCTACCATCCTCTCGTAAACCAAGGTCTATGTTATTTGTTGCGTTATTTGTTGCACCATTTACTCCTAACAAACCGCATAAACCTAGATCTGCCAGCACATTAGTGATAGCATCTGGTTCTGTATAGTTAAAGTTGAACATGACTTACAATTGAGTGTAGATAGTAGCCTCCACTATCCAATTCAACTTACACACTTATAGTTTAGGTTAAACTACCATGGGCAAGAATCACTGCCATGTGCTAAATTCTCAATTCTCAAGCCCAGGAAAAAGATTAATGCCAGCTTTTTCTGCGTACAAAGAAGTAGATCAGGAAAATTCAACAATTAAACATGCCTCAGCAACATATAAAAAAATTAAAATTATATACTTTCACAAATACCATGATTTTCATCAACTGTAACAAAATCCAAATTTTCTTTATATTTTATAAAATTTCTTGTCATGTGACAGAGAATTGTACTTGCCTAGAAAAATGTCAACCTGACCTGGGTTATGAAAGAATGGATTTCTCTACGTCTGCTCAGAGATATTTATGGGGTGTTCCAGAATGTCACTTAAGAAAAAAATGTAGAACTGATATATTTAAACTGAAGTTAGATTTAAATGAAGTGTCATGTGACCAAGTTATTAGGTTATGTTCTGAGTGTAACGACAGATGCTTTCCTCATTTCGCTTTTGTCATGGCACTTTAATTTTTTTTTAGCATACTAATTCACACAGTACAGCAAGTTAACCACTGTCCCATGAAGAGGGCCCAGTGCTTTTAATTCAATGTAACAGTTCTGTTACAATGTTAACCTGTGTTCAATGCTGTGCCTTTACACATTTGACATTAGTTTTATTTTGTTTTGTTAAGTTGCTTCACGAATTATATAGATGTGGTTATGGATCATCCCCCATTTCATTGTTGTTGCTTTCACAACACAGATATGGTCATATATCAATTTTCATTATACTGCTCTTCATTTTGCAACAAAGGTATAATCATGTATCATCGCAGGTGTGGTCATCCCTCATTATACTACTGTTTATTTTACAACAAAGGTGTAGTTTTGGATCCAGTCAAATAAATTGAATTTTATTCTACTTGACTGTATTTCTTGCTTGTTGAGCACATGTATGATGTACAGTAGTTCAAATTAATAAATACAAATATTTTTTAAAACAATAAATGATCTTTATAAAACAGTGTCAATATGCAATACTGCAGATTGCACAATCAAACAGGAACTAAAAATACCATGGAAACTATGCTGACGTTATACATTTTTTTTGCATGCAGAATGATTTGTATGGCAGGGTATATGTTGTTTTTTTTTGTAGAATGATTTTATAGCAGGGTCAGGTTTTTTCTGAATGATTCTTAAGGACTGTGTAAATGGTTAGTTTTTGTTGAATAGCGAACTTCGCCATGACATCATAGGGCACGATCACGTGGGGGTTCCCTAGTCTGGTTGGCAGAAATACCATAGGCTTACTCTACATTTGATTGGATACGCTTGTTTACCAGATTATATATATATTATATATTATTATATATATATAACTATTAATAGTTATATATATATATATATATATATATATATATATATATATATATATATATATATATATATATATATATATATATATATAACTATTAATAGTTAAATATTAAATAGTAATCATTGATCAGGATAGGTTTTTATACCAAGACATGCAATTAAAGCACTTCAAAGCCAATACACCAAGCGAAACTAAACAAAAGTTTCCCCAATGGAACCACAATAAGTTGTATCATTTTGTCGTTGATAATGAGTAAAACAACATTAAACAATTCTCTCTTCAGCTGTCTATGCACATAATCTTTTATCAAGAAAGGAAATATAAAGTTCAATGATAAACCTGACAACAACGTACATCTCCTTCTCCTTTTTTTGCATCATGGGTTTATGATGATGATGCTGATGATGATGAGAAACGTATAATTGACCATAACTATTATATACTAAGAAAATGAGGTTAGCCAAGTTTCTGTTTGATGAAAATTTATGCGAGTGGAATATCATTTATACAGCATTCATACTGTACAAATATTTTATTTATACATGTTATTGCACATATTTGCCTTTTGAACGATAAGCAGAAAGAACTGCAATGAAATAAGTTTTTTTCCTGAAAAATTCATTTAGAAAATGGGGATAATTCATACTATTGATTAATGAGTGGAAATGCATCTTTAATTTATGGGCTTAGAATTAACAGCATGCAGTTCCAATGTTTATCAATGCATATTATTGCACATGGACAGATCATAATTTGATAGTCAATAGCAAACCAATGGTATATAAAATTGCTTGATACCAAAACTGTAAAAGCCAAGTTTTTTTTTAATATATATATATATATATATATATATATATATATATATATATATATATATATATATATAAGGAAAATTAGTTAATGTTATGGAAAACCAATTTTTTATATATATATATATATATATATATATATATATATATATATATATATATATATATATATATATAACTTAAATTATATACCCAACATAAAAACCTTAGTAGAGGTATACAGCACTGCCTATTCATTGGCCTAAGCTGATATAAAGATCATCTTCCTTCGTCACCATGATGGTTCTGCCAACCAGAGCTCTGCCAACGCTTAGTTATGACCTCATACGGGGAATCTTCGAAGTTTCCTATTATTTTTATGGATTGTATAAATGACCAGAGCTTGTTGAATGATTCTCTGGAATAGGAGAATTAGTATGTGTTATACTGAATGATTTTTACAGATTCTATAAACGGCCACTGTTTACTGAATGATTCTTATTTAAATGGACAGTGTTGTGCTTCATAATTCTTATGGAGTGTATAAATGGACAGCGATTTGCTGCATGATTCTTATGGTCTGTATAAATGGCCATTGTTTCCAAAACAGTGTTCAGAACTATGCCCAAGATTCCAAAATAATGTCAACAATTTACAACTAACCGCTCTAGTGGCCTAGTGGTTAGAGCATCCACCTCGGATGCAGGAGATCGCGGGTTCAATCCCCGGTCGAGTCATAATAAAGACTTGCAAAAATGGTACTAACAGCTGCCTCGCTTGACGCTCAGCATTAAGAGGTTAGTGTTAGGACTGGTCGGCCTGGTGTCAGGATAATGTGACTGGGTGGGATATCATGCTACATGTCTGCTGCATGATGCCCATGAGCTAGACAACACTATAAGCTGCCAGACGGCAGACATCGTGGCGATATGACTGAAAAATTGTTAAAGCTACGTTAAAAATCATGATCACATCAATTTACAACTTTTTTTTTTTTACTGACTATAAAGCTTGAAAAGTGTTAATTCTACTCAGTCCAGTTTTCAACCACGAAAATCCAGAGTTCTAATATTAGTACCCTTAGTCCTACTTCAACCACAACAAACCCACAGGGGCTCGTATCGTTGCTGACAATTTACCGGTCATACAGATATCTATACAATATGACCGGTAAATTGTCAGCAACGATACGAGCCCCTGTGAACAAACCAAGTTGAGGCTTGACGTCGTAACTACAAAATCCACTGTCTGCGACTGTTTTCCGTTTTTTACAACCAAAAGCATTTCAGTTTGGGTCAGCAGATTTTTGTGGTCAGCAAAGCGTTATTTCAGCTGAATGGTTATTATTATCGTCTTTTCGTTGGTAACCGGCCATTGATAGGTTAACATTTCAGCGAAATTATGTGACTAGTTATCGAACATAGGTAACAAAATTCCAAAACTGTATAAACTGCATCTGATATAGGCCTATATATCAACTTAATTTTCTTATGTCTTACAAATTATTTCTATACATAAAATATCACCACTACACGATCGTTTAGGACTATTATCTATTCACACAACATAAATTTATCACAGAACATACTGTACAAATGGTGCAAAGAAACACCCAAACCCACCAAAACACCGGAACGATTTGAAAACATTAAAACACAATACCTATTGCATATATGGATCAGTATATTGAACAATTCGGCCCAAAACAGGGGCACAGGAGTCTGCATTACATGACAGAATTTCTGACAACATGAAATCACCTTAACGATATTATAAATTCCAGCCTCAGAGATAAAAAAAAAATAAAAAGAGAAACAAAGAAACATACTATTATTTTCCTCTGATTCACTTTCTCTCTTTCTAGCATTTTGTTCTTCGATCGATCAGTCGAGATCGATCGATCGATCGATCGATCGATCGATCGAGAGAGAGAGAGAGAGAGAGAGAGAGAGAGAGAGAGAGAGAGAGAGAGAGAGAGAGAGAGAGAGAGAGAGAGAGACTCGCACACACGGGCACATTCCTTCAGACGTACACATAATAAATTTCAAATTTATAAATTTATTGATAATAACAACAGTTAGTGATAATACATGAATAGTAAATTCTGATATCAAATTATACACATATACCTTACACTAAAACAATATTGCAGATCATGGCTGTCAATTAAATTTAACAGTATAGTATAGTATGCAATTCTAGAAGAACAGCAGCAGATAAACACCGAACAAAAACATACAACTATAAGAACATATATACACTTTTCAATAAGAAACATTATAAAACAACAAAACTGCATACATTGGCTGTCAAAGTTGTCAGTACAATTTAGGATGCATTCCTAGAATAATAGCGCCCATTTTTTTCATAAATTCCATGCCATTGTTTTCCTAGTGTAGATCACCAGACATAAAAAGGCTGGATAGAATGTTGAAACACAATTTTGCAATACATATGTGGCATTCAGAAGGTCTCAAAAGAACACGCGATTTTATTGAACATTTAAGAAAAAGAAAACAGTCACGTAAAAATCTCAATTCATGCTTTTAAACAAGTACAGTTATGGAACAGTACGTGAGACTCGAAGTTCAAATATTTTGATTTAATACTAAGTACAGGGCCAAATTTTGATTTCATTTTACTGTAATATTGTATTGACAACTGTTGTTTGGTGCAACTGAACTTCTGTAAGAAAATTACATGAAAACAAGCGAGCTTCTTTACATCGTTGGTCCAAAGAAGCTTAAGTTAGCAGATGCATAATTAACTAAACTTATGATTGGGACCGACGACAATCAGCAATGGTCAAAGCCATAATGACCACATTTCCAGATTCGACTCATGTCGTATACACCAGACAACATCGGGATAACACTAAGAACAGACTTATAGACAATCCTGTTTACAAAATGGACTGAAATCTTGTTTTGGATAAATTATTTGGATTTGGAGGAATTTTGGACCCCCAATGACACAAATTGCTTTGAAGAGAAATGCAATATCTTGGAGAATTTCTGTCAGGAAGTTTCTTTAATTTTTATTGACTATTTTTAGTCACGACTGAGAAAATAGATCCTGAACAAGTTGAACGGAGCAACACAGTAGCAGAGGTTAGAAGGCAGATTCTGGCCCAGAGACCCCTAAAAAGCCCCAAACAAGTACGACCACCCACCTTTGTACTTGTTTGGGGCTTTTTATAAGTCTTTGATCCATACACCACCTTTTCCTCTATTACTGTTACTGTCAAATTTTCAAACCTCGTCCCCGATGATTAATGTTTTCACAGTGATTATCAGAAATATTTCATTGTCGCGATGGAACAGACTAAACTTTACCGTACACACGGCGATGGCATTCGAACAAATCATTCATTTGCAGCTTGTGAAGAGGATATTTCTTATCGTTCAAATATACTTTTGACCGATCAAAGTCGATGGTAAATTTAATATATTTCTGTTAACTGATCGGATTGTGAAAATTTTTAAACTCCGCTGATAGCTTCTGGCTCAACATTTCGAGTTAATCGAAATATCCGCTGTGATCAGATCGGATGAACGACAGTTTTAGCTTGTCACGAGCTGCAGCAAAGCATGATTTTTCAGTATTAATTTCAACTGTCAACGGTTTGCCGTCCATCGTTACAAATTTGATTTTGCTATTGTACTTATGTGTGACTGTCAAATTTTCAAACATTATTTATATTGTTCACGCAAAATTTAATATTTTCTTTGATAATTATTTTCATACCTGCTGACTCTCATGGGTAGGCTATCCGTCAGTATACTGTCGATAGTACGAAACTAGCGTATTAAGTCATCCATATATTTTAAGTAAGTAAGATTGTATCTGATCGAGTAATTTTTTGTAGGTGATACTAGCCGTTTTGCAAGCATGATTTTTAGTCGCGGGTTGAGGCTCTATTTTTTTCCACGCTGTTGCAAATGAAATACTAGCACCGGATATGATTAACAAAAATGGATTAAATAATTTTCCACTTGAATTTATACCAGAGCTGGTCCTGAACAGCCGTAAACATGACATTATCCGGAGTATATTGTAGTATTTGTAACATTTTTTTAACGCACCAAATTTTTTAATGATAATATTTGTAAAAATGCATTAGCGCGTCCACATCTTTTGGAATTTTATCAGAAATGTGATTAAAATCGACTATACTTTTTCATTATACCATAGAGGTTTGATTAAGTGTATAATTGCTACAAAAAAAATCCAGATACCACCAGTAAGACGCCGTGGTTAATCTTCTATCGAACGCTATCAGCATAAACTTTTCTTCGGTATCATGTTGGAGATTCTGATACCACTGTGTATACAATATCTTTAATTTGTTTTGTGCGGAATTTTAATCAGATTCATTTTTTTCAACTATATTAGGAATCCCATTGATAATATGTTGATTTTTGTGTTGATATCAGCGATTTTAATCTCAACAGTTGGTGGACTTAAAAAAAAAAATTGTTAGTGGTACTGTTCACGTTTCTGCGAAAGTTCATAAACAGTTGAACATGATTAGAAAAGTCAGTCAGTCGTAAACGCGACCACCCATCATTTATTGTAACTAACGAAGTTGTTATTAGAACATCCTTATCATGAACGTATTTCTTCGTTGCAGCATCAAAATTAGACTCTGGCATTCTAAGATTGTTGATGCCGTTATTGTTCATGTTGAGAAATGCACGCATCATCCCATCGCGCACTAATACGTACTTCGATTCTTGATCATCGACATATATTTTTGTTGCCGCGTCCGTATCTACGGTTGGGTCTTAAACGTATTTTATTTTATTTTGGTTCATGATGATGTTACACAAGAATGCATCACCAGCTGTTTTGATGTAATCGTTAACCGACCTACCGGAATCTTGTATTTTACCTTGATCAGCAAAAGCAACGATATGATCAACAACCGCGATAGGGTTTCGCATGAGTATATCTGACAGCAGTTGCACATTACTTGTCTTTAATCGCCCTTGTTTGTCCTGGAAAACTACAGCTTCGTTTTCATCTACGCTTGAGAGATTTAACAAATCATGGATCTCATTTCTGACACGATTAAGAGATGCATATCTATATAAGTTCCCTTGTTGACCTTCAGTGGATGGATCTCCTAATGTTGTTCCAAATTTTGTGTAACAGCTCATTATAATTATCGTCCTACATAAAATTGTCAACGGTAGTCGGTTTAATATGGCATAAAATTATAGAACAACCATGGCGAGGATATTAAATTTTGATACTGAACGATCAAATCTTAATAACAAACTGCCAGATTGTCATTATTTATTGTTGGTCGTACAGGATCGGGTAAAGCAAATTTGTTATTAAATATTTTGCTCAACGATAACTTTAACTAAGATAAGGCATATATTTCCACCAATAACCCGCAGCAGGATAAATACGAATTATTGAGCGAGTACAACGATAAAATTCGCGCTGAGCTTGACGCAGGCGATGACATATTTTTGATAAGACAACCAGAAGAACTGATTCTAGTGAACAAACTTGATTCATCTAAGCATAAAATAATTGTCTTTGACAATATTCCGCTAAGCAACGAGTAGATGAACAAGATCAGATCTTATTTTTCATTATCGCGTAATAAAAATTTAATTAGGTTTATCTTGCACAAGGCTTTTATAACGTCGATAGATTTATATTATTTCCCGGACTGGACAATGTTGATGTAAGAAATATTGCAAACGAACAATGCGGTGAT